GGCATTATCTAGAGAGTGGTTCTTTTGTCATTAAAACAAACCATGAGCCCTTAAAACATTTACTTGAGCAGAAGCTAACTAGAACTATCTAGAATAAGGGACTGACAAAGTTATTGGGGTTGGATTATATTATTCAGTATAGGAAGGGTAAATCTAACAAAGCTGCAGATGCACTCTCTAGACAGCAATTGGATTCTGGTAAATTTGTTCAAATGGGAGTTACTGTTATAACTCCTACTTGGGTCCATGATATTGAAAAGAGTTATGAAGAAGATGATATAGGTCAAGAGAAAATACCTATTCTGGTTATTAATCCAGATCAACTACAAGACTGGAAATTAATGAAAGGAGTCTTGTATTTTAAAAAGAATATTTATGTGGGCAGCAAGGGGGATCTTAGACAGAATATAATTGTGGCTTTGCATGATTCACCACAAGGAGGTCACTCAGGTATTCAAGCTACTTATCAGAAAATTAAGTCTTATTTTTTCTGGCCAAGAATGAAAGTTTTAATTCAAGAGCATATCCAACAGTGTGATGTGTGTCAGAGGACTAAAACAGAACATATTGTTAAGCCAGGTTTGTTACAGCCTATTCTAGTCCCAAACAATGCTTGGGAAGTGATTAAAATAGACTCATTGAAGGTTTGCCATCTTCAACAAAGTAATTGCATTTTGGTGGTGATTGATAAATTCACTAAGTATGCTCATTTTATGCCATTATCTCATCCCTATACAGTATTGGAAGTTGCTAGAGTTTGTCTTGATCAGGTTTATAAGTTACATGGTCCTCCTAAAGTGGCAATTTCTGATAGGGATAAGTCTTTCACTAGTCTGTTTTGGCAGGAATTAATGACAATTGGGTCTACTATTATTTAGTATTGCTTATCATCCTAAGACAGATGGTCAAACAGAGAGATTGAATCAATGCTTAGAGCAGTATTTGAGGAGTATGTGTTTTTTGAAACCTTAGACTTGGTCTAAATGGTTACCTATGGCGAAATGGTGGTACAACACTAATTACCTGCTCTACAGATGACCATTTGAAGCTTTTATGGATATAAGGCCCTACGTGACATGGACAATAGACTCTAGAGTACAGGCAGTGCAAGATGTCATGCAACACAGAGAACAGTTGAATTCATTATTGAGGGAGAAATTACTGAAAGCTACCAATAGAATGAAACATATGAGTGACAAACATAGAACATATAGGGAGTTTCAAATTGGCGATGAAGTTTACCTGAAACCCTAGCCTTACAGACAAACATCATTGGCCCTTAGAAGAAATTTGAAGCTTGCTGCCCGTTATTTTGGACCCTACAAAATTCAAAGGAGAATTAGTCAGGTTGCTTACAAATTAGAACTACCTGCAAATTCGAAGATACATCCAGTCTTTCACGTAAGTTTACTTAAGAAGAAAGTAGGGGGAAAAAGACTTATCTCGATTGATCCTCCTGAGGTAGCGTCGAATGGACAACTAAAGATTTATCCAACCCTTGTTTTGGATCAATGAGTGATTACAAGGCAGAATAGAGCAGTCATTCAATTGCTCATTCAATGGACGAATATGGGACCAACAGAAGCAACCTGGGAAGACTACACGGTTTTGCGACAACAATTTCCTCAATTCGATCATTGGGGACAAGAATCTTCTGAAGGAGGGGGTATTGTTATGATGGCAGGGAAGTTAGGGTTTGATCGTGGTGATTTGGGGGAGATTTCGAAGAAAGGATTGGGAGACAATAGCAATAATTGGGGGAAGAATCGAAAAACATTAGGGATTGGAAAGGGGGTAGGGATTGATGTTATAATTGAGATTGGGAATCGAGGGAAAATTGGGGAAACGACTGAGATATTTGAGGAGGTTAGTGGGTATATTCTGATATCCAATATTATTTAATTTTGGGCTTCTAAATGGGCTTGAGTCTGTTAGAAGAATATTAGGAGAGATGTGAATATGGTGAGTCAGCAGAGTTGGTTATTTTGTTAGAGATGATGTTTTGACAGCTGGCATTGTATATACATAATGTGTACGACCCTTTAAGGGATTATCTATGAATGAAGAACTTTTTCTGTACCTAAATCTCTATTTCTGAAATTAAAATCTTCTATTTCTTATCCTAAATCATAACACATTATCACGAGTTTTGATCGAGATGGGAACACCCCTTTGACTGTAAACAAGACTTGGTTGTGTGGTTCCGAAGCAGCACTGTTTCTTCCATTGAAAGCCTAACCTGACTGGTTATCATATGAATATCTGCAAGCATGATCTCAGCTTTTGCAGCTGAGAAAGGTTGTATGTATTGAGTAGCAATCACGGAATTTGTCATCAAAGTAAAGACCGAGATACATGTGACTAAAATTGATGCTCAGCTTCTTGTTTGGATTCGTGAAGGTAGCCAGTAGACTAACATTAGCATTGAGCAGGTAAACCATGTTGAGAGAGGCTGCATGCAAGGTGATGCCACCGAGATACAACGTACTAATGTTAAATGTTTAATGAGTTTAGTTTTTTTTATCTTATCCGATTCGATGAAATTCATTTTTTTTAATTATTATACAGATAAGTAAAAACACAAATAATTCATAAAAGAAAAACTGAAACAGAAAGCCGATGGTAGCAGAGAGGGAGACGGCGTGAATGTGCATGGGACATGTGTTTCCTGTTTCGGTATTGATTGTTTAGGGAGCTGACCCAACAACTTTGGCTTGCACTTCGGCCGCCCCATATTCCATGTGGTTCTCTGTATAAAACTAATCAACCTTCAAAATTATGTCACTTTTTATTATATTTAAATTAAAATCAAGTCAAGACGAAGAACTCTCGGTTGTTAAAAAAATATTATTCTCTTTTAAGGTTCTGAGTTTGACCGACTGCGTTGTAGAGCGTTGTCATAATTAAGAAATATCATGAATATACATTATCTTATAAATACATCATACTATTCTAAAAAAATTGAGTCAAGACCAAATACATAAAAAAGTTGTTTTTGTCGGGAATCCCCATACTATAAAAATGGAGTTAAGAAATGGATGGACCTCTAAAAAGGGTGTATCATCTTTAAGGGGCATAAGACAATTTTATCAAGTTTTAACTTCAAAACATTAAATTCTCAAGGGACTAAACAAGAAATTGTTCCATTAGGGATGATACACTCCCAACATTTTCAAAAACAAAGGAACTCTTATGTATTGAGTTGATTTCATTAAAAATCCTTAAACTATAGTTCAAACTATAAATCAATCCTCAAATTTTAAAACATTTCTAATTGAATCCCCATACTATCAATATCATTTCAATCAAATCCTTTTGTTAGTCTAGCTATCAACACAAGTGTTCAATGTTAGCGATCTTACTCGTAGCATATTGAAAACCCACTAGCCAAAATTTAAACATTATGCCCTTAAATGTTAATGATACAATCTATCTTTAATATCTCAAATCTAAACTGTCCATATAACTTGTATACGGATTTTAATATTTCAACATCATGTCTGAGTTAATCTTTAATATTTGGTCATATAATTAAACTAACGTAAAGATATAATTAATTAAAATATTTTAAAATTTAGAAATCGATTTTCTATCGGTTTAATCTATGGTTAACATCAGGCACATGCAACTCATTTTCCATCTTATTAACCTTCCATCGTGCCTCTTATCACGAGAACATGGGAGCAATTTTGATGGAGAGATTGTGTATTCATGGTCGGTTTTATGATTTCTCCCTAAATAAAAAAATAAAATAAATAATTAGTTAGCTTCATTCAATGAATATGCAATCCGAAGTATTGCAAACATTAAACATAGAATAAATTTACTCTAACCAAACGATCTAATGGTTAAGGAATTATTGTCATCTCTTGAAGTCATGGGTTCGAGCACCACAGGAGTATAAGCGTTTCATGTTTATTGTCAAAGCGTTGAGGTCTTTTGGATCCTACCCATATATATATAGACTTGGAAGCTCAAACTTCGGATTTGAATCAAACAGTATATTTATACCAATATTTAATTCCCATAACAAACCAAATAACTTTTTTAATTCAATTTATCAATAACTCGAAAAAATCAACTTTGTCACGTAATTTTATTAAATTTAAATGAATATCTTACAAATTTAGATCAACTTAATTGATTCTGCTCCGAGATTTCTCCAAGATATCTTAGAAGCTGATTCTAATGGTTCCTTTAGTAGTTCTCTTAGTTTGTAAAGCTTTGCTTCCTTCATATTTCAAAAAATTAATATAATATACCTAAGTAGTAATCCAAAGTAGAAAATAAGCCATCGACTTAACGGTTGGTTACATATCAATAATCTATAACCTAATATAGAGGCAATGCCTTGTTGCATGGAAAAGCACACACATATAATTTTTAACGAATTGTTATAATTAATGATTAAATTTATCAAATTTTATAATTATTATAATATTATAGTGATCATTTTATAAAAGTTCAATAAATTTAATGATTATTTATAATTTTTAAAAGTTTAGTGATCGAAATGATATATTTTTTTGTACATGAAAGTTTAGGTCAGGGGTGACTTTCCCAATCCAGGGTCAAGGCATACCTAAGACCTAATTGGAATTTACATAAGAGTTTATAGATTGCCCACCAAAAGTGATGGTGATAGGATTCGAACTACTAATAGGTTTAACGCGGTAAGACGTTAGATCTTTTAAGTAATGTTAGTAATTTAAATTCTGACGTTTTGAATATAAAAAACTGAGATAAGAATATCGTTTTCATGATGAATTTTTGCATTACTCAATCTAAATTAATTGATAGTCTTCAAATGTAGATGGTTCTAAAAAAGTATAAGTATTTAGCTAATACATATAATACAAAACACCCTCTCTCTCTCTCTCTCTTGACATTTTCATGATAAATCATTGACTAATTAGGATGAGTTGTAGCGAAGCACGAACGAAATTTAAGCAATATTTTAAAGAGTTAGATCCAGCCTTGTATTTTTCATTAAAATAAGAACATTATTTATTACAGAAAATGATGCAAGAGAGCACTATAAAAATGGTGTTAGCTATAATATCACCACGCAAACAACAAATCTACGATAGAGTTCAATTACTTGCAATGAGACGGCCAGGGCTGGTTTATGCCTTGGCATTTTGCCTCGTAGTCACTACGGTTGCAGCTGCCTCGGAACCTTACAAGCATGCATCTCCCCTGCCACCAAAACATCCCATCGATTACAAGTCACCCCCACCTCCTTTAAAATCTCCACCCCCACCACCTCCGTACATATATAAATCTCCTCCACCACCAGTTTATTCCCCACCTCCTCCTTATGTTTACATGTCACCTCCTCCACCAAAGTATTCACCACCACCTCCTTACATTTATAAGTCTCCACCACCAGTTCACTCCCCACCTCCACCATATGTCTACAAGTCTCCACCACCGCCAGTCCACTCCCCACCTCCACCATATGTCTACAAGTCTCCTCCACCACCAGTCCACTCCCCACCTCCTCCTTATGTTTACAAGTCACCTCCTCCACCAAAACATTCACCGCCACCTCCTTACATCTATAAGTCTCCACCACCACCAGTTCACTCCCCACCTCCACCATATGTTTACAAGTCACCTCCACCACCAGTCCACTCCCCGCCTCCTCCTTATGTTTATAAGTCACCTCCTCCACCAAAATATTCATCGCCACCTCCTTACATTTATAAGTCTCCACCACCACCAGTTCACTCCCCACCTCCACCATATGTCTACAAGTCTCCACCACCGCCAATCCACTCCCCACCTCCTCCTTATGTTTACAAGTCACCTCCTCCACCAAAGCATTCACTGCCTCCTCCTTACATCTATAAGTCTCCACCACCACCAGTCCACTCCCCACCTCCACCATATGTCTACAAGTCTCCACCACCGCCAGTCCACTCTCCACCTCCTCCTTATGTTTACAAGTCACCTCCTCCACCAAAGCATTCACCACCACCTCCTTACATCTATAAGTCTCCACCACCACCAGTTTATTCCCCACCTCCACCATATGTCTACAAGTCTCCACCACCGCCAATCCACTCCCCACCTCCTCCTTATGTTTACAAGTCACCTCCTCCACCAAAGCATTCACCGCCTCCTCCTTACATCTATAAGTCTCCACCACCACCAGTCCACTCCCCACCTCCACCATATGTCTACAAGTCTCCACACCGCCAGTCCACTCTCTACCTCCTCCTTATGTTTACAAGTCACCTCCTCCACCAAAGCATTCACCACCACCACCAGTTTTTTCCCCACCTCCACCATATGTCTACAAGTCTCCACCACCGCCAGTCCACTCTCCACCTCCTCCTTATGTTTACAAGTCACCTCCTCTACCAAAGCATTCACCGCCACCTCCTTACATCTATAAGTCTCCACCACCACCAGTTCATTCTCCACCTCCACCATATGTCTACAAGTCTCCACCACCGCCAGTCCACTCTCCACCTCCTCCTTATGTTTACAAGTCACCTCCTCCACCAAAGCATTCACCGCCACCTCCTTACATTTATAAGTCTCCACCACCACCAGTTCATTCCCCACCTCCACCATATGTCTACAAGTCTCCACCACCGCCAGTCCACTCTCCACCTCCTCCTTATGTTTACAAGTCACCTCCTCCACCAAGCATTCACCACCACCTCCTTACATCTATAAGTCTCCACCACCACCAGTTTATTCCCACCTCCACCATATGTCTACAAGTCTCCACCACCGCCAGTCCATTCCCCACCTCCTCCACCAAAGCATTCACCGCCACCTCCTTACATTTATAAGTCTCCACCACCGCCAGTTCACTCCCCACCTTCTCCATATATCTATAAGTCACCTCCACCACCCGTCCATTCACCACCCCCACCTTACATTTACAAGTCTCCACCACCACCGATTCACTCCCCACCTCCACCATATGCTTACAAGTCTCCACCACCACCGTCCACTCCCCACCTCCACCATATGTTTACAAGTCTCCACCACCACCAGTTCACTCCCCACCTCCACCATATGTCTACAAGTCACCTCCACCACCGTTCATTCACCACCTCCACCATATGTCTACAAGTCTCCACCACCAATACACTCCCCACCTCCTCCCTATATCTATAAGTCACCTCCACCACCAGTACACTCTCCACCTCCTCCTTATATCTACAAGTCACCTCCACCATCACATCCTAAACCACATCCTCATCCTCATCCTCATCCTAAGCCTCATCCCCTGCACCCCCACCCCCCACATCCCAAGACTCCATCACCTCCAAAACCCAAATATATTTACAGTTCACCTCCACCTCCAAAAGGTTACTAAGGTGATGTTTACTCTCTAGTCGTTACGAAGTCCGTTGTGAGTTTATAACTCATAATATATCTCGAAGAAACAAAATAATTTAAAGTCGTCAACCGTTGTTCACTTTTACGTTACAAATCTATTATTATCAGTTCCTTGTAAGAAATAAAATTAGTAAATTATTTATTCCGTGAGGTTTTTTTTTTGTTTTCCATCGTGGTGTTGTATTCAAATTTAATTCAAGTTTAAATCTTTTAAAATCGCTGGAAAAAAAATCAAAATTAAGATTAGCCATATACACAAGAATTCTCAAACAAGTAGAGATACTAACTTTACACATTATTTAAATCTAACTTTTATGTCACAGAATAATTTTTTTAATGGGGACATAATACTCGAATATGATCTATGATATCAATGAATAACAATTACCACTTTAATTGCGGTTTAGTTGGGTAAAGAATAAATTTTCTAAAGGACATTTGGCTCTTGAAATGCATGATTATACAGAGTTATCTTAATCTTTCATTCTCATGAAATTTCTTCATTTACTTGTTTATAGCAAAGCAAACAAAAAATAATAGTAGACCTCGTGTGAGCTTTTATCCAATGTATAATATAATAATGAAATTAGGAGAACACTTCTCGATCATATTTATTTTAAATTACTCTGAATATGTAATAAATATAAAATAATTAATAAATTAAATTGTCAAAATCTAAACCCAACCCAATTCTAGAAGCGAATTAATTACCCGATACAAAGTTATAAATGTTTGATTAAATTGATTTTATCTATTTTAATTGGTCGGTTTAATTTTATTGAATTATGATCGATCAAATCATTCGATTTAAAAAATTAACCAAATCAACCATTTACTCAAGACTAATATAATTAAGGTACAATTGAGGCGAAGACAATCCTCTGACCCAATTTACTCCATATACAAATATTAAGATTAAAATTTCTAATATTGTTTAAAAAATATAATGCATAAACTTACTAAATCAACTGGTTATTAGTTAAATAGGAAAGTTATTAATAAATCACGTAATAGTACCAACCAATATTTATATAAGAATATGACATGTAACGATGAAAATTATATAATACTATATATTAAAAATATTAAATTTTATTATGCTTACCATATAAATGAACCGAACTATATTTTACGTAAAAATTATTTCAGTCACTTTCAACAAATGATTATTGATGCGGCGTAAAATAAAATTTATATAGATCCATCTACTTCGTGTTTGAATTCTCAAATAAAGTTTCTTTTAATTATTTTATTTAAAAACTATATAAAAATACAAAATTAAGGATATAATTTATTGACTGCTTAATTTAAAACATAGAGATTATTATGGAAATGACGATTCCAACAAAATTTATTCCATCCAAAACATCGAAATTGGAACCTTTGACCTTTGCTTAAGAGATCTTGATAGAACCTAACCAAAAGAGTTCAGTTTTTATCAACAAAAAAAAAAAAAATAGTGTGCTCGAGCTCTAATCGGAAAACATTAAGTTTTAACCGAGCTTCGAGTCTCGAATTTAAAGTTTGAGGCAGGTTTCGAGTTTAATACATAAAAGTTGGGTCAAAGGTTTTGAGCTTAAATACATAAAAGTTAGGTAGGTTTTTATACACTATTTATCCTACTTCGGCCAAAAAAGAGTTGCGATAAAACCACATTACATGCCTATGACTAACACAAACTGGAATGGGACGAAGAAAGGAACTATATGTGCACGGAATATCTTGTGAGAGAGCTCTAAATTTCGGGTATGACTATCGAAATCATGAACAGATATAGAGTAATCATTGAAATATATAATTCCGCATACCTATCTCAGTTACCACTTCATCATGCATCTCATTTCTTTCTGGATGCGACTGAATTCCAGATTTCAGGAGATCTTCCAGATACCACGGAACAGAAATGGCTTTATATGCTCGTGAACCTGTATAAACGAAATGAAACTCTTTGTTTCTAGCATCTTTATCGACGAACAGGTGATCTAGACCTTGACGTCCTTCCCCTGAAAAAAGAAGTTCATAAAGTAAACAAAGTAGAGAAACCTAAAAAGCTGGAAGATTCGGAACCCTGATGCTTTTACCTGGTTTGACGATGGTTGTTTATGTCGCATAAACACTTAATCCAATTCTAACATACCTGGTAGTCTCAGAAGAATAGGGAGAATGCCTGCGCTGAGAATGATTGCTATGTGTGACCGCAAATCTTGTCTAGAAATGAAAATATACATCATACTGATTTGGTAAGTTAAAACATATATAAATCTAGAAAAATGCTCAGCCTTGTGCAGAGTCAAACTCGATAATGACCAGCTAGTTACGTTATCGTTTTTCTTTTGGTGATAAATGGAAACTAAATACCTTCAAACAATAACTATGAAACTGCAAGCAACCAAACCCTTGGGAAAGAGGGGAAAAACACAAAGAAAGTAACAGCCAGTTCTTATTGAATAAATCATATAGAGCAACAAGAGCTTCGGGAACATTCAATATAGCACCATTACCGATGTTGTCAAAATTTCCATCCAATTTGTGTTAGAGAACGTAAACTGAAGTCAGACGTGAATAATAATAATAATCGGTGTAGCTATAGAAGAGTTAAGATGACATAAAAAGCAAGAAATATAGGTCACTTAAAAGAAAGGTAAGACTTGACATTTCCATAGTCACAACCAGACTACAAACTTTTAACCAAAAAACTAGGTTTGTGGGAACCATCCACTAAAATCACAAAAGAACTTGCAGGCAGAAACAGTAATAAGCAGAAGTAATTCAAATGGGATAGAATATGAACGAGGTGCTTCCTCGGGCTATAAATACACCATGAAAGTTGAAGTCATATAGTTCAGTACACGGTAGCATTTGGAAAAGGTCAAAATGTTTCTTTAGTTTAAGTTCCTATTAATTATCTCGACCGTATCTGCATAAAAACATTAGAACAGACCAAACCTGCAAAGGGCTCAGTCTGCATAAAAAGAAAATACAAAACATGAATAGAAATGATCAAATACTGATACAGTTACCTTCTTCTAGACTTGATAGGAGAAGGTGATGACCGTTTTCTTGAACGCGACTTTCTGTAGTACACAACAGAAAATAAACTAAATAGCTCAATCGAATGAAAAAAAGGAATAAAAAACCATTAGATCTCAATGACAAACCTCTTAGAACCATCTGATGTTTAATCACTTGATTCATTGGCATGATCACTAGTCATCCTTGCTCTTTCTGCCTCTACAGCTAATTGACGAGGACCTTCTACTTTTGTGCCGGCTTGAGTCACTTCCACGTTTATGTCTTGTTTTATCTTCTTCTTTTGTCCGTTCTCTTTTCCTGCCAACATCTTCTTTAGCACTAGCCCTTTTAAATCTATCTGCATCTTTCCTGTCATCCTTGGCATCGTGATGAATGAATATTTTTCTTGAATCAGAATCCTTGGCTTTGTCCACAGATTTAGGCTCTTTTTCTCTCACATTTGAGTCATTTCGATCTTCTATGTTTTGCTTTCTAAGCCTTTCATCCTCTCTCATATAATTCTCATCTCCTTTCTGCTCTCCCCTACTCTCAACAACCTCCAACTCCCTACCACTACCAAGGTCTTTACTGAACGAAATCTTTCTACTTTCTTGTCGATCATTCTTATCTGATTTTAATTTCATTTCCCTACCTTGAGATTCGGGTTTTGTTGATTTCTTACCAGCATATCCATCAGGCAGCTCAGAATCAGATTTTGTTGTCACCCGTTCCCCTAAAGTAATAATCATCTTAGAACCATTATTTCCATCTTGAAGCTTTCCACTATTAATATTACTTTCATATCCTGATGCCACCTAAGAAGAAAATAATTTTTCAAAGTTCCTATCTGCACTGTCATCAGTAGTGTCACTTCTGTTTTTTGACTTCATATCACTTTCCAAGTTCTTTTCAACTCCCCTATGCTCATCAAGTACTTCCTGTGAAATACCTCTCTGTTAGACCATTGTCTTGTGAAAGCTTGTTAGTGCTGGACTGCACAACAGAATCATTACTCCTTGAATATGTCATCCTGGAACTTTGAATTTCACCATCTACATCTTCATCATCAGAGGCATAATTTGCAAGGCCTAGTACATTGCCAGGGGAGCTTGAACTAGATTTTTCTTCGGCAGTGTCTGGTTCTTTTGCTTTACCTGGAACTAGTACCCTTGCAGAAGCCTTCGGAGTTGGAATAAGTGAAGAAGATGGTGATTCCTTGTGATTTGAAGCAACAGAGTTGTGGTCAACTGCAGTTCAGCAGTTACTAGAAAATGGTGAATTTAAAAGAAAATATATCATCATGAATATATATATATATATTTATATATCATAACAGACTTCAGTATTTGCATAAGAAATATCCAGATGCCAGCACCCACTTACCTTCAATTATTGAGCCATCTTCATTAACAACAATGGTTGCAATTTCATTAAACAGCTCATCTGTGACCTGAACAAAAACATGAATTAGATCAACTGCGCATGCACACACAGAAACACAATAAAACAACCATAAGTGCTTAAACAGTAGCAACCTTTAAAAGGACTTCAGTTAGCACGAAAGCAGGGACGTTATCCCTTGCGGGGAGGGCTGTTTTAGTAAAATCTGTCTTGAATGCACTGCCGAATTACTATATGTCTTTGCTCAAATTGCCTTCTGGTGTTCGGAAAAAGTTGGAGTCACTAATGGCAAAATTTTTTTATGGAGCTCGGCACAGAAAAGTCGGATCCACTGAGTGAATTAGTCGACAGTATGCAAAAAGAAAGATTACGGGGGTTTGAGTATCACGAATTTAAATCTAATGAATAGAGCTCAATTGGGGAAATGGGTTTGCAAGTTTAGCAGTGAAAATGAGTCCTGTTAGAAGAGGATGGTATGTTGTAAATACAATTTAGATAGAAGTTCGATTTTGTTGGACAAGAATCTGCCTCCCCTTGCGACTTGGATTTGGAAAGGAGTAATCAATAACTATTGGACGAATGATGCCTTTGGCTTGTGTTTTCGAAATCACCTTATTTTGCAAGTGGGGAAGGGAAATTCCATTTTGTTTTGGCATGATAGTTGGTTATGCAACATTCCGCTGAAGATAAAATTCCCTAGGTTGTTCGCCTTGTCGGATAAGAAGGATGGGGTCATTACGAACTTTGGATGCCTAAGCAATGGGAGATGGGTCTGGGATATCCAAATGAGACGAAATTTGCTGGATTGGGAAACTGAACAATGGATCGAGCTATTGTCTTTGTTGGATAGTGTTCGTCTTGGATTGGAGGTGGATGATTGTTGTGCATGGAAAGGAAATGGGGAGGGTGTTTATTCGGTTAAATCGTTCATTAACTTAGTATCAAGCCAGTCCAATCCGGATTTGTCTTGGTCGAAGCTTGTTTGGGTTGGTATAGCACCTTCAAAAGTGGAGTTTTTTTATGGCAGGTGTTCCACCAGAAGTTGGTTGTTAAGATTGTTTTAATGAGTCGGGGTGTTCGAGGGATCGAGGATCCTCTCTGCCCGGTCTGTGGATTGGAGAGGGAGTTGGTGTGCCACTTGTTCTTCTCGTGCAGAGTAGTTTGGGGGATTTGGATGCGGTTTCTACGATTGTGGAATATATATACAGTTTTGCCCAATAATCCCTAGGGTTTTCTGTACTCTTGGTTTGATTTACTTTCAGATTCGGACATTTGGAAATTCGTCCCGAGTGTTGTAATGTGGAATGTATGGAAATGTCGAAATCATATGGTGTTCAAGAATGGTAGGTTGGATCAGACTAATCTTTTCTCTTTGGCTAGGTATAGGGTGGCTTCCTAGTTCTCGGCAAAGAACTCAAATTTCTCTATTCTTCTAGATTGCCTTGTGGGAGACTTAACTTTGGTTGATTTGCACCGTTTTCCTACGAAGAAAGTTTCCCCTAAGTCACAGTGGTGTCCCCCTCCTCCGGGCTTTTTTAAAGTGAATGTGGATGGGGCTGTAAGTTGCAACTGGAGGTGCAGTGGTATTAGTGGTCTGCTTAGGGATGTTGATTATAAGCGGTTGGGGTATTTCTCGGGAGCGTCCGGACCAGGCCCTCTGATTCTTGCCGTAAAGAAATTCAAGCTGGTTTAAGTTTGTTTTTGGATTCGGAGTGGAGTGATAAGGGGAGTCTTATTTTAGAAAGTGATTCTTCTATTGCTTTGAAGTGGATTAACAATCCGGAGGCAAGTCCAGTTGCTTATGTTCATTTGGTTAAGGAAATTGCCAAGCGAGTGATAGAGTACAATGTGACTATTAGGCATGTTCAGAGATGTTTTAATTGGGAAGCAGATAGTTTAACTAAGTCGGGCATAGGATAATGTGGGGTGTTTGGTTGGGTGAGGTGGGTGAGTGCTTTCGGTGTTTTTGTGGGGAACTTTTGTACTTAAAATGATCTTATCTTGGATGTACTCTATGTGTTAGTAATAAAATTTTGGGCACTCTTTTCCTCCTTCCAATGGTCGTTGAATACTACACAGTTTGACAGTTATGAAGGAGGTTTTTAATGAGTCCTATTCTTATAAAAAAAAAGTTGCAGTTCTAGCAGCTTCAACATAATCCTACAGAAATAAAATGAAGTAGGTCATGTCTAAAGAACAACAAATTATAATGAGAAAACTCATCAAAGGCATACTGAAGCATAAATTAGTTAAACACAGAAATAGTAAAACCTCATCATCGTCCTCTTCTTCAGTTGATCTAGAGGAATCAATGCTTTTGCTATCTGCTTGACCATTTTTAGCCAAGGATTTATCAACAGCTTCATACTCAATGGATTCTGTTTCTTCTTTAGGATGTTCGAGAGAAGACTTAGCTATAGTGGCTTTGTTCCTTAATATTTCCTCCTCAAGCCAATTAGGCAGAGGACCCTGGATGAAATTCCATGACAAGAACTCAGCAATAACTAACACCATGAAAGTTTTCACATTTAAGAAAGCGATGTCAACTGTAAAGTATTCAATACCTTTTTGGGTCGTTCAGAAATGGCTCCGTATGTATCACTGTAACACCCCCAACCCGTAACCGACCCGGATACGAGTCCGAAGTGTCACATTGACTGTTCAAACATTTATTCGTATAAAATAGTGAGTAATTTAAAACTTTGATAACATTTAAATTACTTCAAAACGTTTACAATAGATATCAGAGTTCATACCATTTATATCTTTAGACTACATGCCAACTACACTCTGTAAACAGTACATACATTTTCTGATCTGACATTTGGTAAGGAGAACTGACATGTCTTGCTCCGCATTACTCTTTATTCTTCTCGAAACCTACGTGTGAAACAATCACACGCTAAGTCGTTGACTTAGTGAGGCAATAATTAAACATATAACAATAAATTCATGAACGTGCATTCATACCATTGAATCATGACATCTCAATATGCATGTATCTATTGCATGATAACAATATATATAATCATGTCATACACACACGCAACATATCTTCTTGTATTACTTTCACTTTTCGTTTGTCTTCCAATTGCATTGCCCATGTATATTATTATCTTTATCAACATCATTATAATTCAAGCAACACATGACATATCACCCTAAGTATATACATCACATATATCTTATACATTACATTCCATGTTATCTCTTATTAGCCCATGTGCACCTGTGAGAACTGTAGATATGTGAGTCTATTGAGGTTGTGCACCACTATGCTGTCACCACAGCTCATATAAATGTCCCGAATGACCTATCCAGAGGTCACACAGACCCCGGTAACTATCCAGAGGTCATAAAGATCCTCGGTAACTGTCCAGAGGTCATAAAGATCCTCGGTAAACTGTCCATATGTTCCTTAGAACATAGGTATACTGTCCATATGTCTCGAAAGACATAGGTAAAACTGTCCATATGTTCCGTAGAACATAGGTAAACCCTCGACTCTTGGCATGCCAACTATACCCCTAGCTCTCATATCACATAACATGGGCATTATCATTTAACAGTTCACATTACTTGTCATTTCTCTTCTGTCACATACCACATGTATCACGTATTGTCTATTCATATGTCATTTCATATATCATATGTGCATGTAATCGCATAGATCATATCATATAGCTTCATTCATATCACATATTCATATAAGCTCATAGCTTCTTTCACATATACATGTAATCACTTAGTCTATTTTCATGTAATCCTTTTCACTTCTCATATGATTTATATTCATATCTCACATAGCTTATATCACCTTGCATTGTTCCATATAAACATAGATGTCATATCTTGTTCGCATATATTTTCCATATAACTCATATATCTCATAGTGCTTTCACATAGCTCACTATCATGTTTTCATATCATATATTTTATAATAGATTCTTATATCATCATTTGTTTCCTTTCCACCTATTCATAATCACATATTCACATCAACCATATAATACATATATACAATAACATGTCAACACATATAAATCATACACATAAATACTTCTATTTATGAATTCATGCATTTTACTATGGAAATAGACTTGTCGCAAGTCTTATTTCCATTTAACATCATATAATACTAATATGCACTCACCTTAGCCTTGTTTGAATTGAATCAATTCTAACCCGTCGATTACTTTGAAGCAAAGTCACGTTTAATATCTACATAAACATAATTTTCAAGATGATTATCAGATGCCCAAGTCTTGAAATTAACCTCTAATATCCTACCAATTTAAGGGATTAATAGTTTAGTCTCTCTTCTTTCTTCTTTTTTTTTCATTATGGGGGAATCGGTTCCCCCCTGGGGGTATCGATTCCCCTCTAGCATTCTGGAATTCATATTCGTTTGAGGGGGAATCGATTCCCTTGAATGGGTACCGATTCCCCTAGCCCAGAAATCCCATTTTGAGCTCGAAAATCACCTTATTTAGCTTAAACCTTCCTATTTCACTTCTTTTAATACTCCTAACTTTAATACACATACTTAAACTTATTTCTATTCACTAATCACTTCTTTAACTTCAAATCTAGTCATTCCTATGCAATTGCAAAAATTATACTAGTTTTGCAACATGTTCAAATTCCTATTCTAACACTTCCTATCCCTTAATTGACTTGATGACAAGTCAAATTCAACTTCTAATTCTCAATATAAACTTTATTTCGATATTTCATTCAAAAACTTCCAATCTTTAAATCCTCATAAACTCTTCATTTTGTTGTTTTAAAGCAAATAAATCTTTCCTTAATCTTACTTAGCATCTAATAATCAAAACTAAACTTTAATTTCAGCACATAATCAGCTCAAGAGAAAACTCACCTCTGCTTAGTCTTCCATGGTTGGAGAAGAAGAAGAAATGAAGAAGAAGATAAAATGCATTCATCTCCCACGTTTTTATCTCCTATTAAAGGGGATAAAAATATCTTTAATGTCAATTGACCATTTTGCCCTTTAATTCATTGGATAATTACTAAAACTTTCAGGAAATATCCTCAAATAAATCATTGAACTATTCAAGTATTCTACTTTTATCATCAAATTCTGAAATTTTATAATTTGGTCACTAACCCGTAGTTTGGGATGTTACAATCACCAGGAAAGGCTGTAGAAGGATGAAGTTGAACTCCCACACCAAGAACAAAAGGAGCAGTTGCAGATGGAATGTTTGGCTGAAAACTTGGCCCAGGAAACCTTGGAAATGAAGGTGCCACGTGTCCAGAAACGGGGGAAGGCAACAACGGGTCATGCTGAAAAATGGATTTTATATCAGCAAACTAAAACCTGTGAATAAATCAAAGATAACAGACAAGGCTCAAAGGAATACCTGTGCTCCAGGTGGAAGAACAGGAGGATAAACCACATCAGGTGCTACTGGAGAAGTCCATGAGTTAATTGAAGATGATAGAGCAATGGGATCAATGCCTCTTCCTAGTGATTCATGATGAACAGCATAATTGGATTGCATTTGTCGGTCATGATCATTATTAAACCTAGGTGCAAAATTTAAAGGACGATCACTAAGATCAGCTGCAGGATCCACTGCCTGATTTCCATACGACAAAGACTGCTCATTAAGCACGGATCTCCCAGTATCAGGAAATGGAGGTTACATATGATACTCTGACTCTAGAGCTGATGGGCAAGGGAAATGACTTATATGGCTGTTCCTTTTCTTGTGCAGACTTTTCCTTTCCTTCAATTTAGAGAGAAGTCAAATAGCAAATAAAACAAAATCTGACATTCCTAGCAGCCCTTAGTTGTCATTACATGAAAAGCCAGAATTCTGCACTTCTCCTATCTGGCATCTGCCCCATAGAAGATATTTTTTTACAGCAAGAGTGGATTAACAGAGAAAGTTATTCACATAAATCTTTTCACCAAAAAAGATGGCTTAAGACTTTAGTACTATCATAACTAAATCCTTAAAAATGAAACATAACACAACTATATTAATCAGCAATATGCAGCTAGAAAATATCTCATAAGTGGCCCACTTTCCATAATCGCGAATCCTGATAACTTGCCAAACAACACTTCCAATTTAATTTTACATTTTCTGCACTCAGAGAATACAAGGAAAAGCTCTAATAGAGTGTGTTTGGATGGAAGGGAGTAGATAAAAGTAAAGTGAGCCAGCAAAAGGTTTGTGAGTTTTTCTAACAGGGATAAGGGAGTCTTAGAAATGAATTAAATCCCTTCAAATTTTCCTATTTGAAGTTCCAATCAAATCAGGAGGTATTAAAAGTCTAGTAATTTTTAACTGGACAGTTTTAGCTTTTTATCCTAAAACTTTTACTTTAAAATGATCTCATATCAGGACGCATACTGGTGAATAATAATTGCACATGGCCCTGTACTACTTCCCTCGCATTACAACTCAATTACTTTACCTCCTTTTATCTTCCAGCATTTACAAATAAGTTGCCATTTGATTTTTGAATTGAAGCCTTCATTTATCATATCAAAGCATTCAGCACGCGATATAGAAACCACACTGTGATGGAGATATATTACGAACAAAACATATGCATTCTTGGGCAACTACAAACAAATCTTTTTGTTCATTTCATAAGATACATTGCACAACGCTAAGCTTGTAGTTTGGTAACTTAAAAGAAAAGCAAGCAGCAAAAATAGAACAAACCCACTAAAATATGTAAGAGCTAAACAAGTAGTTCCACAATTTCCAAATGTTAAAAGTCCATTTTTAGTTTAGACATGCATTATGGTACATAAGCTTGTTTCCAACAGAACAGAACATGCTGCAACAAGAATACCATGTTTACAATTCTGTTAACAATTATAATTTATAAATGCCATTTCTAGGATTATAAAACTTCAACAAATATATTACCTACCTTTATTTATTTATTTCCGGGGGAGGGGGGGGATATTTTTTATCTTTTAGAAAATGGTATAACCTGACAAAATTTAGCACATATGTTATCTAATTTAATAGTAGTTAAAAGTCCAAAACAAAGAAAGTAATTCCAGACAACATTGAATGCCAATAAATACTTTTCCCAACAATATACATCAAAAACTTTGTAACAAGATCAGGATGATGTTTGAACATAAGAAAATTATTGACAACAGTCCAAATAACAGGGTACATTTATATGGCCAGCATGGACCGGTAAGAATCAGCCATACCAGGGAGTTAGTTCCACATTAACTATCATTGCCAAGTTGTATATTTTCATGTGACAAACAAAGCCATTAGGTTGACTATTAAAAGTGTGATATAACAGCACAAAAGCAATCAGCCAGAACCAAGTCCATATTTTCAAATAGCCTTTTCTCAACAGAATATTTGTGGACAATTTGAAGTCATGTCAAGGACAAAAACTTTGAGCACCACAGCATCCTAGAAATAAAAAAATTAAAAACTAACGGAAGGAAAAACTCTCTTTAAGAAGACCAACTTTGAAAAAAGGATAACATTATGAGATGGTCCAATCTTAGATGAATTAACTACATAACATTAAACCAAACTAAAACTAGAATCTTTTTTAAATAATAAAAAGAAGTGTGAATGTCATAAGTGCTTAATTTAGTTAATATTTTGCTTTTAAATTACTCCTTAATATTGGTTTTTGTGGCTTATTTGTTCGTTTTGATTCATTTTCTGTGCAGGACGTCAGATTCTGAAAATTGCACTTAAATGACAGAATTCTGCAGTTTTTTTTATTTTCGGAATCAAAGTTGGACTAGTGGGCATGAATTCGGGCATGAAACATCCGACGAGACGATGACGTCAGCACCTTCTAGAAGATCCAGTTAGTGTTTCTAGAAGTACGAATGGATTGGCCGCACGTTTCTGGAATTCGGATTTGGATTAAACTCAAGTTTTAAGATAATATTTTAAACATTATATTTTATCTTTGTTTTAAGTATTTTAGTTTAAATAGGTTTTAGTATTTCAATTAGGATTTAGGATATTATTTTAAAATATTATTTTATTCTATCTTTGTTTTAAGTATTTTAGTTTAAATAGGTTTTAAGTGTTTTAATTAAAATTTAAGATATTATTTTAGGAATTATCTTTAGCTTATTTTTAGGAATTTGAAGGCTATAAATACCCTCTCAGTGTAATCCTAGAAACATATTTCTCTCATCTGAAAATTAAATTTTCTTTTTCTCTCTAACTTTCTCTCTATTTTTCGCACACTTCTTTATTTTCTTTTAAATTTCGTTTTCAACAATTATGTTAAGTATGACTTTGGTCATGCTTAGCTAATTTTCTTTTAAGCCGAAGGCTAAAGCGAAGGCTCAATTCCAAACGTGAGAATTGTTAGGCACTTAAATCGCTTTGGATTTTTCTCTTTGTTTTTTGAGCTTACTTTTCAAATCACAACGATTTTCAAAACCAAAAGTTGACGTTGGTCTGGATGTTGTTATGGTTAATGTTGGAAGAAGGATTAGCTTATTGAAGCACATTCGACATCCCGAGAACACACTTAGCAAGATTGTTTGCTAAGAGAAAACCGAGATTGAAATCAGTTATTGTTGAAACAACATAATCCGAGTCGGCAACGAAGAATTGCCCTTGTAAGCAGACATGAATCTTGGAGTAAAGATTTGTTTCGATGTTTCGAGGAATTTGAGACAAAGCTGAAATCTAAGGCTGTTTTTACCATAAGTTTTCTTTATCTCAATTTATTTATTTGTTTATTTAATTTTTATTTCATTATACTTCTTTAAATAATTTAAAACTCCTTTTTATCTTTATTAGTATTTTTAAATCATTATTTATTATTTTTTATTATTTTTCCTTTTTTATTTTATTTTATTCTATCTTTTCAATTTCATTTGAAATTACATCTTCTAAAATCAAGAAAGAGTTTTACTAAATCAGAAACACCACAGTCCCTGTGGATCGACCCTGCTTCTCTATACTACTTTTCCTTTCTATTTATTAAGAAGCCGGAATTATTTTGATAGCAAAATGACGGTTATCAGAATGCAATTTTAAAAGAAAAGGTACAAAGAACTAGGATAAGGCCCTTTCAGATTATATATATCTCAGTCAGTCACGCTATCATTTTAGTTAGGCTACATACCCTATACATCATGAGTTTTTATGAATGATAATTGCTTAAAAGTTTAAAAAAAAAAAACTATTAAAAAATATAGGACAGGGTAATAGAAATCTTCGATCAATGGGTTCCAGAATTGTTATTATTTCAACACAAGAAAAGGATATGACGATACGTAGAAATGTGGTTTATAGAAGCAGTTCTTCAGCACAAGCTGCATAAGCAAGTTCAATTTACTTGGGTGATATTATTACCTGAAACCGAAGAATAACAAGAAGGTACCTCCTGCAGATGAACAGACGAACTGGCAGGTAAACTTTCTTGGTGAAGAAATCCACTGTTAGGATCCATAAGTGAAGTTCCATCTCTAACATGGCAAGGCGGATAACCATCAGAAATATATGAAGATGGTCTGGAGCTGTTAGACAAAGTCTCAGTTGGATAAGTTACTGGTGATCCATGAGGAGATGATGCTGGAACAGGGAACTGCGGATAGCTAGAAATTGGCAGTGACTGTTGGGCGTCCATATAATGAGAATCAACATCTTGTGAATATGGATCCTGAAAATGATTTTGCTCTTCCGGTCTGCCAGCTGGAGTAATTGGTGATTGCACCAGCTGGTCCTGCATTGCAGCCCTAGTGTTTGCCCATTCTCTAGCTTTGGCTCCCCAATCCTCCACGTTATTATGGCTGGCACCAGAAAATTATTACACACCAAATCCATTAACACCAAAATACAATAAGAAAAGCACAGGTCCAGATTCACTTTCATAACCGGGGCAAATGGCTGGTATAGCCGTATAGGTAGCAACACAGACGTCCAGATCATACATATTGCAATTAGCAACATACATTATATGGATAACCAACAGCCGACCACTAGAACAATTGCCATCACACTATCCTTCAGTTGGTAATATGAAATGCATTCCCCTATGACTAACAATTGGTTCCCGTTCCATTTAACCATAAACAAGGAGGTGCAGTAGCACCCATTGAAATGCATCCTTAATGTTGAATCTATCACCATAATTTTCCGCGGGTGTACAAGTAGTTAAATTAACATACACCCCATATATACACCCTTTGCATGTATAGGATAAAAATGATTCAGAAAATGACCATATTAACATTTACAAGGAGCAGTCTGCAGTGCTAAATATATGGAAATAACAATATAATTCTATTGAAGCCTATGAAAAGCTAATATCATGGGGAATGAAATCAGAGAATCATATAAATACTCACCATGGTGATGAGACCAGTTTGAATTGCTCCATTCCTAGAGAATGAAAAAAGAGCCAAAAAAAAAGTCATTTGACGAAATGAAACCAAAGAGGCAGTAATTTACTTAACAGTACAAATAAAAATTAGAGGAAAAAAGGTATAAAAAAGATGGGAATTAACCTGATTGACGTGAGAGAAAGTATTGGAAATCTGCGAAGGAGGCATGTAAGGTCTAGGAATGGGAGGAGGGGGTGGCAGTGGAGTGAAGTGATTACTTCCGTTATGAGGGTGCGGAGGAAAAGGAAGAGGAGGAGGCGGAGGATAAGCGGAATGATCCGGATGCGGAGGCGGACCCCAGGAAGGCGGTTGCTATGGGGAAGGAGGATGAGGACGAGGGTGGTGCAGTGGCGCATAATGAGACTGATTTGTGCTGCTGCTGCTACTGAAATTGGAATTGGTTGGAGTTCCATCCACCGGTGACGGAGCAGCAGCTATTGGAGGTGGCCAGGTCCGGTCCAATACATGTGCCAGATGGGCCTTAGCCCAGGGCAACATGTTTGAGGGAGGCATCACTTTAAATATACAGGTTGATGAAGGGAGTTCGAACTACAAATACACGCTCAACGTTGGCCTACGGCCATTTCCTGGGGCAGATCTAAGTTAGCACAGGCAATGGGGTTTTCCCCCACTCGGCTCAATTTTTTTCCCGACCATGACAATAAAATTTGACCATCAAGTGCAGCATGAAATGATAATCAACAGAAAGAGATTGTGGAAACCAGTTAGAACAAAAAGAATTGCAGTAATGTTAAAAGTGTGTTCATCTGTGCATAACTGCAAATATTATCTACTTAATGGGGCATCGGAATTGTCTACTTATTCCAAGGTAAGCAAGCTTCTTTAGAAATCTCATGGGAGTACTTGTGTCAAAGTCCGAGCCCAAGACTGCAATCGCCAATCAACGGCGTTTGTTGCGAGATGCTGATCAGAACATCAGTTAATATAATCAAGAGACGCTGCCTTCTTCTTCACTAGTGCGCAACCAATTAAGCATGCCTCAATTCTAGCCATAAGACACATTATAAATTCAGAGTTCAACCTATGACATAAGTTTGTAGCTGATAGCCGATAGCAAATAGCTGATAGTGTCGCGACCGTCTTTCGTTTAGGCCCCGGAATTGGGCTTCGACTTGAATGATGTGGTTAGAGTCGCCACCGACCACTTTAAAATGAATTTAGGTGGGTCGGATACCATCTTATCTGATCTGCGTTGTACCAGGAACGTGTCGGGTTCGGGAGTCGGTTACGGTCAAGGAAGGATTAGCACCCTTGAACCGCCCTTTCGGTACCAATTAATTTATCGGTTGTCTTGATTTGCGAAAATTAAAATTTAAAAATTCAATTTGAATTACTTACCTCCGATCGATTATAAATTACCCTTAAAAGGTCAAAAAAGACATTAGATTTGCAAAAATACTGAATTGACCCAAAATGTTAAAACATAATACTTTAAACAAAATATATATATATATTGATATAAACATTCAAGTTAACTCCCCAAAAATGCGTAAAAGTATAATGCAACCATTTTTAACAACATTCGGGACATAATATTACATAATAGATGGATAAAACCTCTATGTACTCACGTCCTCACCTTTTAGCATGTGACAAAACAAATGTTCTCACCAACATCTGAAATTCTGATGGAAACTGAATTCCTTGGTGAGTGGGACACCGAGTTCAGCCATACAAGCTTGCACTAGATCATCGGAGCCGTACAATTCTGGGCACCTTTGAATACACCTGTCTTGCATCTTCGACAAAGCCTCGGCCAATGGGTAGCAAATGGTTGCGGTGTGGTCGCGATTAACTGGAAGTTCTTAACTGATACAACGGTTACTCGCCCTCGGAAATTCAGGCACCAACACTGCAGTTGATCGTGCCATCTAGTGAGCTTGTTTTTCAGGACCAAGGGTTTTGTATGGAAAAATAGAGAGATTCCGAGCCATGGGTCCTCTTTCGTTTTCGAGAAACTGATACTAATGAAAGCGAGGCGGCGATTTGCTGCGAGGAGAGCAAATGATGGACAATGGCAAAGGCGTTGTTGCCATGGGAGATGAAATGGCGATTGTTGTCGTCGTTTTTGTTGGAATCAAAGAGGGTGATGATTAGCGAGAGAAGCTGAGAGGCGAGGGGGGAAGTTGGTGAATCAAAGGGGAAGAAAGAACTAAATCATTTGACACCGCTTGGCCTCATTCATCATGGTTTCTTTGGAGTTTTGTTGCTGCTTCCCCCCATGGATCTGAAGACTCCCTTTAAAAATTAAAAGCTAACAGCTTTTTACCATCAAAGAGAGAAAAAGCCACCCCCCTTCTTTTTTCTGATGACCCCCTTAAAAAGGAAAAAAGAAAATAGGAATTTGTTTTTTAGTTAGTGGGGTAGTGGGTTGTTGGGTAGTGTTTGTGAGAAACGTGGAAATGTGGTGTGGGTTTATTTGTTTTTTTACTTTGGCTTTAATGGGTGTTGGATGCTGGGCCCGGATAAAAACTGGGGTCTACAGCTGCCCCTCTTTGCACATCTTTGTGTTAACAAGAATAGGGCAAAGACAAAAAAAGACAACCAGTTTTTTCCGGTGCTTTCTGGAATTGGGCATTTGTCTTCTTTCTCGGTTTAAAGATTTCAGCTTGAAAATTCTTCCAGAAAGTAGTTCCTCGTTGTAAATTTGATTTATCGCTGAGTTGAATGTAATCAAACTCGAAGGTCTTTGGCAGATAGCCCTTCTCGAATTAAGCTATGCTGCAAATGATGTGCCTCGGAGCTGAGCGTAGTTGAACTCGAAGGTCTTTGGTTGGCACGATTCCCTTCGTCGTGAAGTTGAAACCGCGGATGGCCCCTTCGTTGTAAAGTTGAGCCTGGAATTGGATATCCTTAGTCATGAAGTTGAAATCCAAGTAAGTTGTACTGTTCCGAGTCCAATATCCTCTGTCGTGAAGTTGAAATTGGTTCTGGAACTGAGAAGTTGTTTGTTGACAACCAGCGGTCCCTTCGTCGTGAAGTTGAACTTGCGTTGTCTGGAGTCCAATATCCTTCGTTGTAAAGTTGAAATTGGCTCTGAAATTGAGAAGTTGTTTGTTGACAACTAGCGGTCCCTTCGTCGTGAAGTTGAACATGCGTTGTCTGGAGTCCAATATCCTTCGCTGTGAAGTTGAAATTGGCTCTGAAATTGAGAAGTTGGTTATTGACAACCAGCGGTCCCTTCGTCGTGAAGTTGAACTTGCGTTGTCTGGAGTCCAATATCCTTCGTTGTGAAGTTGAAATTGGCTCTGAAATTAAGAAGTTGTTTATTGATAACCAGCGGTCCCTTCGTCGTGAAGTTGAACTTACGTTGTCTGGAGTCCAATATCCTTCGCTGTGAAGTTGAAATTGGCTCTGAAATTGGGAAGTTGTTTGTTGACAACCAGCGGTCCCTTCGTCGTGAAGTTGAACTTGCGTTGTCTAGAGTCCAATATCCTTCGTTGTGAAGTTGAAATTGACTCTAAAATCGAGAAATGTTCGTTGACAACCAGCGGTCCCTTCGTCGTGAAGTTGAACTTGCGTTGTCTGGAGTCCAATATCCTTCGTTGTGAAGTTGAAATTGACTCTGAAATCGAGAAATGTTCGTTGACAACCAGCGGTCCCTTCGTCATGAAGTTGAACTTGCATTGTCTGGAGTCCAATATCCTTCGTTGTGAAGTTGAAATTGGATCTGAAATTGGGAAATTGTTTATTGACAACCAGCGGTCCCTTCGTCGTGAAGTTGAACTTGCGTTGTCTAGAGTCAAGATCCTTCGTTGAGAAGTTGAAATTGGCTCTGAAATTGGGAAGTTGTTTGTTGACAACCAGCGGTCCCTTCGTCGTGAAGTTGAACTTGCGTTGTCTAGAGTATATCCTTCGTTGTGAAGTTGAAATTGACTCTGAAATCGAGAAATGTTCGTTGACAACCAGCGGTCCCTTCGCCGTGAAGTTGAACTTGCGTTGTCTGGAGTCCAATATCATTCGTTGTGAAGTTGAAATTGGCTCTGAAATTGAGAAATGTTTGAGGTGTAGCTTCTTACTGTCGAGTTAATCAACCACCATCCTTCTTTGAAGGCACTTGAGAATCGATTATTCTTCATCCTGAAGTCAAAACTTGACTCTAAAAGCTGCAAAAACGTGTATGCTCAAATGATGAATGTGATGCACCTAAGTATGTTTAAGATGCATGCAATATGAATTATGTGTTATCTTCTGGGTGGAGTCTCATGCTTTATCTGTCAATCAGGTCCTTGGAATGGATCGTGCCCCATTTGCTTCCCGAGCTTTGGCTTTACAGACCTTTCATATCTGAGACTATTCTGCTTGAAAATGTTTTTCTCTTTTTCTTGTTTTAGGAGAGAGACATGATGAAACTGTTGTAAAACATTGTTCGCAATTGAATCAAATTGTAAATGTGAGTTCAAAAAATATCAAAGGAATCAAGAGCTCTTTTAATGCTTTCAGAGTTACAAATCTTTGACAAATGTTCAAATGGATGAGTTGGCTTTAGGTTGGCCTCCTTTCTAAGGTTTTGGTAACCCAAAATGTCATTTTTTTTTAATATTGAAATATGCTTTGGCATTTCATTTGGGTGCGGACAAAATGACGCAACTAGAATGACCAATTACTAGAGATTTTATTTCGGTCCTCTGAAATCTTCCATTTGTTCAAGCTTTGTAGGCTCCTCCAACAAAGGCAGTGCGAAAAATATCGGTCTAAAAATGAAATTCTTGAGTGCTCGTGTGTAGTCGACTATAACAGATGTTCCTTAACTCCCTTAGTCCAACATTACCGAAAATTTCTTGCTCAGATAAATTTGATTTAATTTTTCGTTATCCGGCAAGCTGGATCCATAAAGCCGGGGCGTTTAACCAATTGCTTTAGAGGGACAGCTTAATATTATAATCACAGTTATCAAGTTAACTGAAGGGTTCATCTCATCAGAGTCTTCAGCCTGACAAGAGCAGTGGAGCAAACACCGAATTGCCAAGTCCGAGCAATGTCATGGTTTGAACGTAATCTACATAAGGCCAGGGCTTTCAAGTTTCCTCTATAACCAATTGCCTTAGCGGAATAGCTCAGTTTTTACGGATTTAATTTCCTAAGATTGTCAAGAAGAACCTGTTATAGCATAGGTGTTTTTTGAAAGTCAAGGAATCTCATCTTTAGAGTTCAATTTTCAAGCAACTGACCTAAACTGGATTTACCTACTCGACTCTTTCATTTGTAAAGATCATCATCATCATTGAACGTCTTAAATAAAAAACTTAGTAATTGTCATATGAAAATGATGCCCCGTGTTGTCCGCACCTTATGAAAGGAAAAGGGTATATTGGTTAATTACAAAGAGCAGAGTATGGTGTTTGAGGGTATATTTTGGATAAGGTCAAAGCCCTTCTTTTTTTAATCATGTTACTTTGTCAAAGATCCGTAA